TTCTACTATTTCCATCTATAATTGACCAGTGCCATTGTCAGGATTCTTTTTGTTCCTAATATATTTCAAAAAGTCTTCCGTATTGTCCTTAACTCTGCTAGCCATAGATTTATCCTTGTGTCCCTTTTCTTGTCTTATCAACTGTCTACAATTCTTAACATCTGATTTATGTTCATCACTATCAACTTACCATTTCTTCTATTTGTTTATAATTTTCACTGCCTTCTCTTTCCCTCTAAACTAGGTTGGTTTTTTAACCATCACAGCCTTCTTCCTCAATTGTAGGATTGTGATTTTTTTGGGCATCTAGTAAGGTGTTCTTAAATGATTCCCCATCATCAGTCACATTTTTCTGTTTAAATTCTTCCCTCCATCTAATTTGGTTCATAATTGTTTTCAGCTTTTTGAAATTGGTCCTACTAAAGCATCAGCTGACTCGGGCTTGTGGGACTCTGGAGGGGGCTATAAAATTCCAGTGTCAAAATTTGGGCTCAGGCTGGACCCTGGGCTCTGAGATCCTCTGAGAGGTCTAGTTAACCATTTATGCTAAACCATCTGTTCCATCTTGTATTCAGTTGTGACACTAGATTTCCCAGACCTGAGGAAGAGCTCTGTGTAAGCTTGACAGCTTGTCTCTGTCACCAGCAGAAGTGGATCCAATAAGATATTATCTCAACCACCTTGTCTCTCTAGTCATTGTCTAAGGCAGTTTTCTCACCTACAGTCACTTCTGAGCATCACCAGTCCCACGTGGTTAGGGATCCACCATTCATGGAATGCAAAGAGCACTGACCTCTTTGTTGCCTCAGTGATGGATAACAAGATGTCCTTTTGCTGCTGCTTATTTTCCCCACAGTTCCTTGTCTGAAGAGTCAGAATGTCCCTCTGCAGTTCGGACTGTGGTATGTCCTCCAGTGTGTCGACACGATACAGTTTCCTAGTCATCCTGATTACTGGTGTTTACCTTAAATGCAAATGAAAAGCCCAGTGTCTCTGGCATCATGCTAAATTTACATTAGCGACACAGACAAACAGGCAAATCAACATTCCTTTGTCTAGGACAAACTTGTTATCAACTCTGCCCCCAAAACATATTTTGGGAACATATTTCCAGTACACATACATAATTCTCTACACACCATTTGTACATACATCACACAATGATATTTATGAACAGTGTTTCACCCGCTTTCATTTGATACTTCACACAACATTCTTTAAAGATCAGTACTATGACCGCAATGTGTTTAGGTGTAGTGAGTGCGTCAGGCCTGAAAGGAGTTACAGTACAGTGGGCCCTCTGCCAGTTGACATTGAGGGGCTCTTAGGGTCTCACCATCTTGTGCTTTTTCTGTTTTAGGACATTGATCCATAAGCATTCAAGATCATTTTCTTCTGAGTTATCAGTGACTCTGAAACAAGTAATGCCATTTTTGATACAGAGTGCTGCTTCCTCCTCCCTTTCACCCACTCACTCTTTCCTAAATAGGTTATAACCATTGATTTCAACAGTCCAGTTGTGTGACTCATCCCACCAGGTTTCAGTAATACATACTAGATTGATTTTATTCTCATGAGCAATTTCAAGTCCTCTGGTTTGTTATCCAGGCTCTAGCATTGGTGTATGCGCTGTTCAGTTTTTCTTCTCTGTGTCTTTTGGTCCCTTGATTAATTTTGTTCTCAACATCTGATTTTCTGCTGTGTGCTCATATCTTCCTTCTTTTTACCTTGCCTTTTTGTTATTAGTTTGATCTTTAGTCTCCATGATTTCTGTCTGAAAAGTGACCTGTAAAGGACTTTTTTTTTTTTTTTTTAATTGGACTTGTCTTTTGGTTTCTGAAGAACTTTTTTTTCTTTTCTTTTCTTTTTTTTTCTTTTCGCCTTTTAAAGTACTAGGATTGGTCTTCTCTTTAGTCCTCCCTCTTCCCCCTCTCCCCACAAAGGCTCTTATGCATACATGTTATTCATATGCGTATACATTGTGTACACTAACATTTTAAATGAAAAAGAAAGAGGTGTTGAGTCATTAAAGGGACATGGAAATTTTTAAAAGATTCCCAATGTCTCAGAGCACCATTATGTCCTGATTTGTGTGTGTGTATAACTCCTTATATTTAAGGGTTTTTTTTGTTACTCTGATAATTATAAGGGGCCTTTCTGCAAGGGAGAACAAGCGAGAAGCTAATTGACTAAATACAAAGCACTGTCAAATGAATAAAACAAAGCAGGAAAACAGAAAATATTTGTTTGCTTTTGCGGGAGTTTCTTGTAATCATAGTAGGTACAGCATTTTCATGTGATGGTTGTTCTTTTTTTTTTAATGTCAAGGTGACAGTGTCCCTTTAATAGACTGTTTTACCTAATGTTAACTTGTTAGTGAAGTTAAATAGGTGTTAAAATAGTTATGAGCAGACTGGCTAAAAATCCTTTCCCGTCCAAATTGCTCAGTTTTCAATATTTCATGCCACCTCTATTCATCTGAAAAATAGTCCAAACTCAGTTTTGTTGTGGTGTTTTTTTAAAACAAATCCGTTGCAGGTCGTATTGAAGCCACTGACTTAGCAATACCCTCCTTAATTACAAAAATGAACTGCTGCTTCTATTCAGTAAGCTATGGCATATTATAAATATATGCAAACTGGCCAGAGCACAGGCAGCCAGTAACACGTTTTACTCACAATGATATGCTCTTAGCAAAGAGGAACATAAAGTATTTATTTGATAAAGATTCATGTGACTTATGAAGGTCCCTATCTTGAGATTTTTGGTGTACTTTATCCTTTATAGTAAAGGAGACAGTTGGTGTGGACTGCAAAAAAATGACCTAATAAACCTGTCTGTTGAAAGGTGCTGTGAAGTGAAACTCCCAGAAATTCCATATTGGCATTCCATGTCCTCCTTTTTTGATACTTGATACAGACAGATGTATTGGGGTGGGGTGCTACAGTACATGAGCTGAAAAATACAAGTAAAATTTATGAATAAATCATATTTTATGCATCATCAGATTCTTCCTTCTTGGTAGGAACTTACGTTATTTTAAAAAAATACTCTGCCGTTCTCCATCAGGTTAATCACATACAATAGATCTTGTTAGATCCATCTTCAAATCCTAAAGAGAGACTAATGTGCTGGCTGGATTTCTAGCTGGATGATTTCCACATTCTCAAAATACGTAGATGACATTCAGGATAATGTAGTCAAGTGACCCCAGCAAATAGTGCTGAGAAAAAGATGGCAGCCCTTTTCAGAGCAAAAGTGGTAAAAATGCAATAGGGTATATTTCTTAATGTGACCCCTCCCGCCCCCGGCGCCCTTCTTCACTGCATTCCTACTTTAACAGCTTTGGAACTGTAGGGGTGGAAGGAGATAGTTGTACATAATCAATTAAATCACTGGCTGAAACAAATCTAACTTTTACCATCCAAAGAACAGACTGCCCATTGTGAACTCCAAAGCAGGGGCTGAAAGGCTACCCTCTAATATTGGCTCTGAACGTATCACATGTCAGCTAAATATTCTGTGATGCTTCTTATTTTCTCCTAACACCGGTAAGACAGAAAATATCATAATGCTACTGTATAAACCCATACACCCATCCCTTGAGTACTTCATGCAGTTCTGATTGCCCCATCTCAAAAAAAGGTATATTAAAATAGGAAAAGCAACAGAGAAGGGCAACAAAAATGATTAGGGGTATGGAACAGCTTCCATATGAGGAGAGACTTAAAAGACTGGACCTGTTCAGCTTGGAAAAGAGATGACTGGGGGGGGAGGGAGGACATGTGATAGAGGTCAATAAAATCCTGAATGATGTGGAGAAAGTAAATAAGGAAATATTCTTTATCTCTTCACATAACACAAGAACCAGGGGTCATCCAATGAAATTAATAGGCAGCAGATGTAAAAAAACATAAGGAAATACTTCTTCACACAATGAACAGTCAATATGTGGTACTCGTTGCCAGGGGATGTTGTGAAGGCCCAAAGTATATCTAGGTTCAAAAAAGGATTAGTTAAATTCCGGGAAGATGGGTCCATCGGTGAATAGTAGCCAAGATGATCAGGGATACAACTCAATGCTCCGGGTGTCCCTAAACCTCTGCCTGCTGGCTGGGACTGGATGATGGGATGGATCACTTGTTAAATTACTCTGTTCTGTTCACTCCCTCTGAAGCATCTGGCACCATTCACTGTTGGAAGACAGCATACTGGTCTAGATAGATTGGTCTGACCCAGTATGGCCATTCTTATGTTCTTTATGAGATTTTGTATTGTTATAGTGTATTGTTGAAATTTTTGTAATATGCCTTATGTTAATATGAGTGGAATTAGGGGAGGAAAGAACTGTGAGCAGTAGTAAAAATCCAAATTTAAAGATGATTTTTTCTAAATTGCGGTGGTTTTATTTTTAATTATTATGCAAAGGTCATTGCACACAATAGAGAATGCTATACTGGTTCTGTTCAGAGACCCAAGGAACTTTATAAGTGTGTGTATACTCCAAGTATATATTCCTGAAGAAGAAAAAGAGGGCATATTTTTAAAAATTTCACTGTACATTGATATGATTTTGTTAGTTTGTTTTGGGGATTAGGTGCTATTTTATTATATGAGGTATGAATATGTTGGGTATACTGTGGAGTCCTTTCTTTGGCCATCTCTACAATAGGAAATTTTATTAAGTTACTAAAACATTTTAACTAACATGATGGTAAACACTATGTAAAACCTAGTGTAGATGGGGGACAAAGTGGTTTAGCTGATAGTCGTTAACCGTAGGGTCCTCTTATGGTACCACAATGAGCTAACACATTTTTAAACATGACTCTTCTTGTCCACACTAAGGGTGAAATCATGTTTAATATCATGTTAGTTAAAAAGTGGTGGTAACATGATATACTGGTAGTTTCCTACTATGAGAACAATGCATAGAAATATTAATGTATTTTGTTTCCTTTGTCTTTTTTGTCTCCTCTATATGCTTCTTTTTAATGCAGTTGAGGAAGATAGGAGGTGGGGGGTTTGGAGAAATTTATGATGCTCTGGACTTGCTCACGCGGGAAAATGTTGCACTAAAGGTCGAGTCAGCTCAGCAACCAAAGCAAGTCTTGAAAATGGAAGTGGCTGTGTTGAAGAAACTGCAAGGTAAGGTGGTTTCCTTGGTATACCAACAAGCGAGTGTATGGTAGGAGGCTAAGAGTCACAACTGCATTCCCAGTCACTAGGGTCCATGTTCTGCCATCTTTTCCTTATTCTGTAAGTAGTACCATTGAACTCAATGGGGCTAATCAAAGTAAGGGTGAATCTGGCCCTTTGTGTATATTGATTTTCATCAATGGTGAGCAGAGGCTTCTAGTTCTTGGCATATGGGCAGGAAAATCATTCACTTCCAGTATGTGGATGCTTATGGTGGAGCTGCCCTTACGATCTGAATAGGATAAGAGAAAATTAGCAGAAAGTTTCAATTGTTTTAAAAATCAGAAGTTCTTAATCTCCAATTTTAGCTTCTTTCTGGATCCTGTCTCTTTGTTGACAGGTTTCAGAGTAGCAGCTGTGTTAGTTTGTATTCACAAAAAGAATGCATCCGATGAAGTGAGCTGTAGCTCACGAAAGTTTATGCTCAAATAAATTTGTTAGTCTCTAAGGTGCCACAAGTACTCCTTTTCTTTTTGTCTCTTTGTTGTTAGAGACTCTGCCCTGGGGGTGTGTGTGCGTCTGTGTGTGTGTGTTTTTTGTTTTGTTTTTTAAACTTTGCTTAAGTCTTCCTCTTTGGTTGAGGGCCTCCAGCTGACATCTAGCACAGGAATACTTTCCCCAGTATTTTATAGTTTGTCTTCTCAAAGGGATGGTTTCTCAATGGATTCTGTGATACTAAAGTGGAAACAGCCATAAAGAATATAGATGTGCTCTAATCAGTAAGATACACAGAAGCAATGATATTTAGAATTCTGAAGCACTTTTGAATAGTCAGCAAGTTAGAGCTCAAGTGGTTGAGCATTCAGAACTAGTTTGACTGACTGGTGATTCTTGCATGTTCAATAATTAGGTCACCTCATTAGCTTAACATTCAAACTTTTTCAAGTCAAAAGCAGGTACTGGTACAGAGAGAAATGTAATAGCTTCTCTTTTTATTATTATTCAGAGCTGTGAAGTTTAAAATTTTACCTTATTTTTAAACAATACAATTTTCTTTAAGAAAACAGAGAAAACTGAAGACTGCTCCAATATTAATCTGTGCAGCTGCCAGTCTCTCTCTTGCTGTTTATAGTTTGTTTCTAGATTCATGGTTTGGACAAAACAAAAACTTCAAGACATATGGTGTTATCCAATGCGCTGACAAGGTCACATTGCAAGAGCAATAGCAGCCTCTGCTCCTTATAGATTAGTACACCAAGCACGCTTATGCAATTATACAAATACTTTAACAGGCCATTTCATTCCAAGGGTGGAATTCAGAAGGGGGATTCAGGCACTGCAATATTGAGTGTTGCCATCCCTATCTTTTAGGCACCTATCCAGCTAGTAGAAACCTGAGTTAGGTGCCCAGGCTCTCGATACAATGGAACGGAGAATTAGGCACCTAAGAATGGGATCCACAAAAGCCAGCTGGCTGACTGGGGAGCCACCTAAGCAAGCCAGTAGGAAATAACTAGCAGAGGGGTTTGGCCTAAACCCTGCCATGCAGAGGAAGTTAAGCACCTGTCTCCACTCAGAATTCACAGTCACGAACCCTGTCCTGGAGTTAGGTGCCAAAGCCAGATCAGTACTTCTTTGAGAAACAGAGGGGAGAAGAAGGAGGTGCCCTTATAAATTTTAGCCCAGAAGTTAGAACATTGTAATATTTTTTACTGTAGGGAATCCATAGTATGGATAGACATATAAATACATTACCATTTTTTGAATCCAGATTGATAGGATTACTTTTTGCATGACAGACAAGAAATTAGACAAATGCCAGAAAATATTTTTTCTGTCTAGCTCCTAGCAGCAAGAATCTCCACTCATTTTTCTATCTCTCAGGTTTTCAGACTAAAGTTTTCAAATAGGAAAAAAAGTAAGTAAAATGGACAGAAAGTGGCTATTGGCAAAACAATGTTACAGCTATTTATTGCAGAATATTTTTGTCCTGTCTGCTATGTTTCATGTGCCCCTAGAAAATAGACTTGGGCTACTAATTGCAGGATTCTGATTTTGTTGTTGTTGAACGTTGTCTGTTTGCTGCTGAATTAATACACAAAGGAAGACACAGTCATTGCCTCAACAATGATATTACCATACAGAATGCTCTGGAGGACAGCTCTTAAACGTTTTTTGTTTTTTAAAGATATATTTCATTGATAGATTAATTCTCAGGGGATTTGTGGAAGCTGTAAGCTTTAAGGAGTGCTTTGAAAGAACAGAAGGTGGCAGTTTGGCCTCAATCCAGCAAAACACATAAGCACACGTGTAACTTTAATCACACACATAGTTCAAATAATTTCAGTGAGACTACTCACATGCTTAAAATTACATTTGTTCAGAAGTGCTTTACTGGATCAGGGCCTTGTTGCACAAGAAGTGAGAAACTATTCCAAACACAGAACTTGGCATGGGAAAAAATGAAAATACATGAGAGAAGGTTTCAAAGGGAGTGGTGAGGGAGGAATAGAGAAGTGGGTGAGAAGGGGAATAAGAAGAAATGGAACAGGAATAAGAAGATATGCAGATCCTTGAAGATAGGTGCTAGAAGAGTGCAAAATCAGTATTTTTAATGTTTTATTCTTAGAATTTTTCGGTAATACAATGGGCATGTTTCATACACTACAATAATGAAGTGAAAGTAGTAGTATCATAGGTATAAAGTACCGTAAGTAATGGAGAGCTGCAAAGAAGCTGTTTTATAGTCCTGATCCAGCAAAGCAGTTATGCACATGCTTAAATATGAGTAGTTCTTCAAGTGCTTGCTCATGTCGATTCCAAGTAGGTGTGCGCGTGCCACGTGCACAGTTGTTGGAAGGTTTTTCCCCTAGCGTTACTCGTCGGGTCAGCTGTGGAATCCCGTGGAGTGCACCTTCATGGCGGTGTATATAGGTCCCTGCTGACCCACTGCCTTTTCAGTTCCTTTTTACCACCAGTGACGGTTGTTGGAGCAGCTCCTCTCTTGCTATGGGAAGCAATCCCCTAGTGCAGAGGTGAGCAAACTAAGGCCCGCGGGCCACATCTGGCCCGTGGGACCATCCTGCCTGGCCCTTGAGCTCCCGGCCAGGGAGGCTAGTCCCCAGCCCCTCCCACACTGCCCCCCCTCCTCCCCCGTAGCATCAGCTCACTGTACCGCCCTTGTTCTGGCCCGCTGCTCCTGCTGGGTGGCGGGGCTGCGAGCTCCTGCTGCTCTGAGCGGCGTGGTAAGGGGGCGGGGAGCGGGGGGTGATTGGATAGGCGTGGGAGTCCCGGGGGGCCTGGCAGGGGGTGGGGGTGTGGATAGGGATTGGGTCAGTCAGGGGACAGGGAGCGGGGGGGTTGGATGGGGCGGGGTCCCGGGTGGTTGGGGCGGGGGCTCCGGGAGGGGGCAGTCAGGAGTTCTGAGGGGGGCAGTCGGGGTGGGAAGTGGGAGAGGGTGGATGGGGGGGCAGGTTGTTTGGGGAGGCAGAGCCTTCCCTACCTGGCCTTCCACAGAGTTTTGCGACCCCAATGTGGCCCTCGGGCCAAAATGCAACATTTGGCAAAGCAGCACTGCAGTCAGCCATTCCATGAACACTGACCCTGCCTCCTAGGTGAGGCTTGGGAATCACTCTACTTGGAATCTATATGAGCAAGCACTCGAAGAAGAAAAAATGGTTACCTACGTGTTGTAGCTGTTGTTCTTTGAGATGTGTTGCTCATGTCCATTCCAAGACCCACCCGCCGCCCCTTTGTTGAAGTGTCCGGCAAGAAGGAACTGAGGAGGTGGCGGGTCGGCTGGGACTTAATATAAACCGCAATGAAGGTGCGATTTCAGGGGGCTTCACAGCCGACCCGACAGGTACTGCAAGGGGAAAAACCTTCTGAAGCAGGTGGCGCGCGCGCGCATCTACTTGGAGTGGACATGAGCAACACATCTCAAAGAACAGCAGTTACGAGATGTATGTAACTGTTTTTTCTATTTATGTCAGTGGGACTATACAAGTGCCTAAATTCTTTGCTGAGCCAGGGCCTTAAATGAGTATTTGAAAGGTTTACTGGAGAAAAATCTGTTTGTAGTATAGTTTGTTTTAATATCAAGTAATACATCTAAATTTAGAAACTGGTTCTGGGCTCCAGGACCTGGTTCACTAGATTTCACATATACACTGGACCCTCGCTAGAACACACATCTATATATCGCGAATTTGCATAAAACGCGGTCGTGGCCATGGATCCCAAATTTAATTACTTTAATTGGAATTCATTTTAACGCGGTCCCCGCTATAACGCGATCCGCACCCACGCATGGATCCCAAATCCCGCGTTCTAGCGAGGGTCCGGTGTACATTTATAAATAATGCTCCACAGGAAAGTCCTACCTAATCTCTAGAAAATATAAAAAACTGGAATTACTTATTAAAAGAATAGATCCCTTAAGAGCAATAAGCCTGAAATGTTCACTTTAATAAACAAAGTTTTAATCCGCACCGTCATATTGTTTCATACTAAACAATGGAAAAACAGAACAAATGACTCAAGACTTCAGTCCTTTTTCCACTTGCCTATTGATTCAAATAGCATATTGTATACACAGTACAGAACACTTCTTAAATCAGATAGAAAAATACCCCAAATTATGGGGACACGGACTTGAGATACTGAGGCAGACTAATGAAGAAAAATGGGAAGAACATTATGATAATATGACTTCCAGTTTTAGTCACACAAAATTCAGAATGATTGTTTATAAATTACTTCAAACATATATTGTACCCCAAAACGTATTGCTTATAAAGGTGAAGAAAACTTTTTTGACTGATGCCAAGTCTCAAGAGGTTCATTAATATGTGTGTCTTGAAAATGCAAATAATACAAGCATTTTGGATAAAAATGAATGGTATGAACATGATAGTGTGACTGAACATCCTCATTGAACCTAAGGTTGGCCTGCCTCCTATGAATCTTCAGAATCCAAAAAGTAAATACAAGAGGACACATCTCTAGGC